ATAAAATTAAATAAATAATTCTAAAAATATAATTACTGTCAAGGACTTTGTACATTAGCTCTCTTTTATGCCTTAGGGTTCGTGTGCTCACCAAGGAGAGACAGAGACAGTGAGAGGGAAAGTGAGAAATCACTACCTCCACCACCCCAACCCCCCCCCCCCCCCCCCCCGAGAGGGGGTGCGATGGTTGTGTTGCAATACCCTCTCTTCCATTCTCCTTCTGGGATCTTGGGCATGCATACACATGCACCCAGCATAAGTTTCAAGCCACCAAGTCCAGAACTAAACTGCTGTTGGCCATGTGGGAATCCAGCTATATAACTGCTACATCATCTGCTGCCCCAATAAATTAGCTCTTTTTAAAACTATAGTTTTTGATATTATCAAAAAGAAACAGTCTTAAAATAAAAAGAAATGATAATAGAAAAGAAGGAGATAATAAATAGAAACAATAATAGAAACGGATGTTGTTAGGACTTTGAGATGCACCATGCAGACATCAGGTTTGGGTTGGTTGGTCTTTATTAGAGTGTGCATCTAGGGAAGTTTCACAAGATTAAATCAGGATATTTAAATGCAGTCACAGTTTTGACTAAATTGATTTCATTCTTACTAACACTGCTCATTTGAGGCAACCATTACATTATTGCAATAGGAAACATTAATCCCATTTTCTCTTGGGCCCATACAGTGGCCTAGATTCATTATTCTAGTGGTTTAGAGCTAAATACATGAATGCCTTTGCTCTATCTCCACACTCTTGACTTTATATATTTTTCAATAAGAAACACAATAGAATTTTATTTGTCCTTGATTAAATAGATGTATAGCTGCAAAAATGAAAATCCAATAATAATTTTAGTTTTAAAACAAGAAAAAAAGGAGGAAGATATTATCAATGATGAATTCAGAAATAATTCTGTAAAGCACAATGAAGATGAGTTATTTTGGAAAAAAAATGTATTCTATTTTTATCATTTTTATATATATATATATATAAAATGTGTCTTCCCATTGGGACAGGGAGGTGAGGCTGACTCCATGATGTCCTTTGAAACTTTTCTTGCTGTCCTGTGAATGCCTGGAGAATGAGTTTTCAATGGTGGTTAGATCTAGCTCTTCCATTTAGATTTGGATCTCATTCCAATTTGGGCTTCTCCTTCTCATCTTCCATACCTAGAAACATAGGCAAAGTGCTTTATTTGAGCATCAGATTAAACTATAAGTAGGTGTGCCAAAGCTGCTCACAAAAACTCAATTCCCCACATTACTTCCCCTCATTCACGTCCTACACCCATCCCCATCTTATCCTCCTCATTGAGCAGGAAAGCCATTTACAACTTTTTCCAGAAACATCCTCAGTGACCTTTCTCCCCACCCTTTCCCCCTAATCAGGTCATAACATCTTGGGGACACACCTAGCTCCTATAGCTTCTGGGAACAAGGATTGCAAGTTGATTCTTGACTGAGTTTGCATGGACACCGGAGATGGATTGCTTTCTAGTCAGTTTCTAGCAACAGGAGATGTGCAGCTCATGAGTTTCAAACAGACGTTTGTTTACTTTAATCCTCTCCCTTCCTGAGGCAAAGAGCAGAACTTCAAAAGCCATGAAGTCTTTCTCCTTTCCCCTCCTTTCTTCTCTCTTCTCTTCCCTTCCTTTATTTATTTCTTTCAACTCACAGAGTGCTTATTAGCCAGAACTGTTTATTTCCATACCCGTGTATCCTTAAATATACATTCTCCCCCAATTCAACCCAACCCCGGTAGAACTAAGTTTTTCTTCCTGAAGAACTTGGATATATTAGCTTGGTAAGAACTTTTCTGGTTGCCTACATTGAATAGACAATATGTTTCATTTTTCTGAAGATGAAAACATTCAAGTTATTCTCATGAATTAGAGTTATATCTGTCAAGTGCTCCTCCCACTCTTTTTTCATTCTACCCAAATATTTTTCATTCTACCCAAATTAAATTTGCAGAGACTTTTGGTTTGTCGCAATAGTAACAAAGGAATGAAAGAACTTAACATACTGCTTTGCAGGTTTTGTTAATGTTCTTTAATAAATTGCAAGCTCACTGTGGGCAGGGCCCTTGGCTGTTTGGTTCTTGATTATTTCCCTAGCAAGTAATATGGTGTCTGTTTCCTTGTGGGGATTAACTCATCTTTATTGAGTAATTTAATGAACAACATAGAGAAGTTCTTAGAGAGCTAGACTAGTAGAAAAGCAGTAGAATAAAATACACTCTCTGCAATATAAAAATTAGAAAGCTCAATCCTAGGGTCATAATAATGACAGGGTTTACATTAGGAAAGACCCCTTTCACACACACCCAACTTTTAGCTCATAGTACATATTTCGTGGGTCTAAGTGGAGGCCGTGGAATGTGCGTAACATGCTCTGAGCAGGTGTCCTCAGATAATCTTTATGTTTGGTTGTCATGGCTAAGAAACTGGCAAAGATCTATTAACTTTTTCTAAGGTACTTTTCAGAAAACTTGAAATTACGGAATAAGGACATCTGAAGGGAGGAGGACAGGTTTGAAGGCAGGAAGGTACCACATGCCTTAGCTGTTGGGTAACTCATAACACAGATTCCATTCCAACAGTGTACAAGATTTGAGGCCCAACTTCCAACTCTTGTCCATGTTCCCTCTCCTGTGGTGAAGCTTTCAGTCCTAATAGCAGTTTGCTTTTCTTTTTAAAGTCTATTTCCTCCAAAGCATTCTCCTGCAGATGGGTTGACTTGGCAGCAATGGGAGAATCTTCAAAGCAGGGGTGGAGAACAGAGGGCGTTCTTTGACCTAGAGATGGAAAATGGCTCCCCACCTACTTTATTTTGGCAGCTCTGAGGTAGAGGGAAACAATGAGACAGCTGCGTATCATGCTAGGGAGAAGCAGAGGTGTAATTTCCACACATACACATAAAACCAGAAAGAAACCTGTCAAAAAGCTGAAGCAGGATGCACTTGTGGGCACACAGGGGGTGTGATGGAATGACCCTGAGGGAGTCAGTCCCATGAGCTTCCCTGGGCTGGGGAGAGGGTCAGCCAGGGGGCAGTGTAGGGGACACTGCCAGACCTGGGTGAGCCTGTTTGGTAAGTCACCTGGATGGGCAACTGGAGGAGAAAGATGGAGGTTTCTCTCACATAGGCCTGGAGGTTTCTCTCACATAGGCCTGACTCCGAATACTCCTTTCTCCTCACTTGCCTACTTTCTGGTCTTATAAATTTGACTTTTTTTCATTTTTCTTTCCAGAGGGTGAGTGTTTACCAGAGAGAGAGAGAGAGAGAGTGAGAGAGAGAGAGAGAGATATCCTCAACAGAAGGAGAAATCCCCTCCCCCCCCCCCCCCCCGGACCTGGTCACACCATAATCCTCCATTTCTCTAGCCTATCGGAATCATGGGCACAGACATATACATGCTGGTGTTTTTTAAGCTGCCAGGGCTGGGATTCAAACTGGGGCCAGACATGTGGTATCAGCTCCTTAGGCGCCACACTTAACTGCTCTGCTATGGGATCAGCCCAATATTTGACCATTTAACACTGGTCACTTCAGTAAGATACACTGGAATTGAGTTACAGTACAGTACAGCAATACTTCAGCTAGCAAGGGATGAACTGTGTTATGAGTTCAAATCCTAACCCCTGGAGCCTTGAAAAGAGAATGCCAAGGATGTGACTAGACAACCATTGGCTAAAGAAATAGCCATGTGACTCATGGGTCCAATCAACCATCTCTGTAGAAGCCAGAAACCCAGAGGTTACCCAGGAAAGGCCTGTGGAGGACTCTCTTGCCTGACACCTTGGACTCCTAATAAGGTTTTTGAGAATTCTATACAGCATAAACACTGCCAGATTAGATAGAAAGGGACTGAAACAAAATGAAGCAAAAGATCACTGACTCCAAAGATGTCCAAGGACGGGATCCTCCATGATCCCAGAGAGCAGGGCTCCTGCCTAGAGCAGTGGCGGGGAGGACGGGGGGGGACAGGAAGGGCTACTGTTACCAGGGCCTGGAGAAAAGAGTCACAATCCCACCCAAGTGAGCCCTGATGGCACAGCATCCAGCCAAAGAGGATTATTTTCAAGCCTTAAAAATCTAAAACTTTTCCTGCTGGCTTTTAAGCTTGCTTGGGAACAGTGATCTTCTTTTCTCCTGCAAGTTTTTCTTTTTGGAATAGGAAGTTCTACCTTATGCCTGTCTTACCATCGTGTTTTAGAAGCAGATAACTTTGTGTCTGGATTCCCAGGTTTCCAGGCTCGTAAAGAACAATTTTGTTTCAGGATGAATCTGAGTCTCACCTGTACCTGATATATGTGATATTTAAAGTAAGTTTTGACACTTAATGGTTAATGTTGGAAAAGGCTTTGTAGATCATTGAGATGGAATTAATGTATTTGCACACATGATGGACATGATGGGGGTGGGGTAGAAGGTGGGTTACTATGGGCTGAGTTGTCTCCTCTTTCCTGCCCCAATTCTAGTCCTAATCTTCAGAACTTAAGAATATGACCTTCTTTGGAGATGAAACACTTACAAATGAGGTCATCAGGGTGGGCCCTTATAAAATATGACTGGTGTCCTTATATAAAGGAGATATTTGAAGACAGTCTCACATTCACGGAGACCATCAGATGAATATGAAGATGGATAACTATAAACAAGGGAGAAAGGCCTAAAAAAGATCAGTCATAGTTCTTGGAAGGAACCAATCCAGGCAGTTCCTTGATTTGGGACTTCTAGCCTCTAGTAATGTGAGCCAATAAATTTCCATTATTTAAGCCACCCAGTTCATGTATGCTGTTACAGCAGCCCTAGCCAACTAAAACGACTTCCTCAAAGCATCTTGAGTTACTTTCTTTGAAAGAAGCAAATGCCTGACTATGAATTTATCCTGTTTTAAGGATATTTACTTTCACAAATTAATGTTTGAAAGTTCACATTCCCTATCAGGTTGGCCTGTACTCTTCTTTTATAATCTAGGTCTGTGATTCTGGGTAGTTTCTGAGTCCTTGTGTATATGAACTTCAAAAACAGCACATTCTGAACATTTCCTAGAAATAACACTAGCTTGAACGTTAGAAGATGTTGGCTTAGTCACCACCTATTTGGTGGGTTGCTTAAGATTTCTGGACCTTGGGATCAGCAGTTGGCATAATGGCTATGTTGCTAGACTCCCATGTAGTCAAGCAGTTTGTGTCCCAGACTTGGTGGCTTAAACTCACACTGGGCACGTGTGTGTGTGTGTGCCCAAGTTCCCCGAGAGGAGAATGGAGAAGAAGGGATTGTGGTGTGACCATACCACCAGGGGGTGATTTCTCACTTTCTGTCTCTCTATCTCTCTCTGTCTTTCTAGTGAGCACATGTGCCCTATAACAAAAAACCTCTCAAAAAAAAAAATTCTGGGCCTCAGTTTTCTTTAATAAAAGGGAAGAGTTAGTTTAAATGATCTTTAACCTTTCAGCTGTAAGATTCTGTAATAATGCCACTTTATCTTGAAGTTGTAGCTAACATAAGCAGGTAGAGGAAGCTGAGTTATTAAAACTATTATGGAAAAAAAGGAAAGTGGCTCAATTGCAGTATACTTTTTCTTAGGAGATTTGGTGGTAACTGGTATGTAGTAATCAGAATTGTAATATCACACACTGTTGAACTTAATTCGTTCTGATACATAGCTTTTTTCTTTTTTTCTTTTCTTTTTTAATTTTGTTAGAGAGCATATGAACTCTCTGTAGAGAGACAGAGATGGAAGCACTGCAAACCTTTGTCTTCCATTTTTCCTTTTCAGATTTTGGGCAAGCATGTATATACACCTGGCACATTTTTTTTTAAAGCCACCAGGTCTGAGGCTTGAACTCTGTGGTTGGCATGTGGGGTCTGGCAACCTTAACTACCATGCCACAAGTTGGCCTGACACAGCATTTAATCAGCAATTTTAAATTCAACTACTAACAGAGTCAGGTAGCTAATGTGACTGAATAAAGCAGGCAGGTGAAAACTGGAGGAAATCAGAGAACCATTTAAAGGGGACAGTTGACATTCAATTCTATTCCATGGTTGACAGAAGAGACCAGTGACTTTAGTTTTCCCAGATATTAAAACAGTTGAAAAGGAGCTGAAAAATTGGCCTTTATATGATATCTCCTAATTTTTAAATACTCATTCAGAAACAAAATCTTACTACATAGGCCAAACAAAACAGGTAGTGGGTTTGTGTCACGGGACCTCCCTGAGCATGTTGGGCATGCGCATATGCCCTTAATCTGGGCCAGCTGAGATGGGGGTGGATCACAGCATGATGACCTTGTTGAAGTCACCCACCTCTCTCTCTGTCTCCTTTGTGAGATAAATTTTTAAAAGCCCTCATGGCTTAGTGGTTAAGAGAACTAGATCTCACATGGCCAACCACATAGTTCTAATTTCGGCCCTAGAGGCTTGAAAAACATGCCATGTACACACACATGTGCATGCATGTATGTGTGCCCCAAGATGGAGAAACGGAGAAGGGATTGTAGCATGATCATGTCCCATTAGGGCATGCTTTCTCTCTCTGTTTTTCTCTTTCTCTCTGACAAGCCCATGTGCCCTCTGGTAATTAAAAAAAATGGGGGGCATCCTATGGCATGGTGGTTGGGGCAGCTGGATCCCACATAGCCAAGTGCATTGTTTGAGTCCTGGACTGAGAGGCTGAGAAACATGCCAAGTATGTGTTTGTGCATGCCCAAAATCCTGAAAGAAAGGAGAAGTGGAGGAGAAAGGATTGTGGTGTGACCATTCCTGATTGGGGATGGGAGGGGATTTCACCTCTCTCTCTCTCTTTCTCTGTTTCTGAGGTAGACACATGTTCTTGTCAAAATTCAAAATACATGTAGAGACAGAAAAAAAGAGCAGGAAAACCCAAACGAAACAAAATCTTGGTAAGTGAAATTTGGAGGAGGCATCGGTCTGTGACTCCTCTCATGAATGAGGAAAATGCCGACTGGACACTAACTACCTGCCGCTGCAGGACCAGCTAGGTGGCCCTATACAGATGAAGTTCATCTCTGCCTGAGATGAGTTACTTAACTCATGTTACTTAAGACAATGGCACACACTAAATTGGACAGATCCATTCGAAACACTTTAGTTTCATTATCCCCTTTAAAAATCCTCATTCAACGGTGCTAAAACGTAGGTGTTATCTGTTGAAGATACTTGGATCAACTGGACTGGGGAGAAATGTTCACATATTGAAATGTTCACTTTGTAAGCTAAACCATGTGATTGAATACATATAAATAAATAAATTAATTAATTAAAAAATAGTGTATTCTAACCATCTAGATTAAATATTTATCTCTCCTCATTTTCAAGGCATTGTCTCGTAGTAGTAGAACAATGACCAAGAGATTGTCCAAGTCAAGCAAATCGAGGGGAACAAGCAGTCATAAATAGTTTCCGATTAACATATATGGGCATATTCGCTTAAATCTAAATACAACCTTTTCCCCAAGAAACTGACAAGTTTATGTTTTGTTCACAAAATATTTTTGCATGTTAACTAAATGCCTCCATGAAGTAATGAGTAAAAATGATCATTCCCACTGAATTGAGGGAAACATGATTAAAAGATTAATTTCTTATCCCCCAAGCTGTGGCCTGAACAGAATAAAAAATTGTGTTACATTTTCTAATAAACCATTACTGAAATCAAAAGCTGTTCAAGGAAAAAATCCTCTAATTATCCCAGGGCCACTTAACATTGGCTAATTCCTTGAGTCATACACTCTTACAAGACCCACGCACAAAAAAAGGTCTGCTTCGATAACCAGGTAAGGACTGTGCTTTATTGTCTGATTAGAAGTGCAAGTATCGTGTCTGGCACAAAAGAGGGTAGCCACGTGTGTGGAATGGGGTCCAACTACTGGTGATGTCAAGAAAGCTGCGACTGCATCGGAGATGTCCAGAGCTCTCTAAAATCCCCCAGCTATCTTGTCTTTTGATGCATTTTCATGCGGGACTCAAATCACTACATGTCGGTCGCTTTTTCCACCTTCCAACCTTTGTGTTATCTGACATACACTTTGGACAGGTTTTGTGCAGCTTGGATAAGATTACGTGCCTTGCCAGGATGGAGGCTCTGTCATAACTGGAAACAAAAGAGAAATCAAATCATAGGTTAAGAGGTTTTTTTTTTTGCAGCAATGAAGTATTAACTTTTACTGTCTGTGCTTCTTTGCCATCTCTGAACCTTCAAAACGACAGCCCCTTGTGAGTCACAGTGGCCAGAGGTATTCTGTGCTGCTTAGAGTTCCAGCAGAGTGCTGGCGTGACCTCTGACATTCCTGCCCCCACAGGGATGATGCATGCGAAGTGCAGATCTGGGCGACTCTAATTGAGACTGATGTTTGATTTCATATAATAACTTACCTACCTAACTTGAGATTCCCTTCAGCTGAGGCAACATTCTGTGAAATAGGCCAAAATTCCATAATTTAGTTTTATTCAATTAATCTTCTATTTTCTCCTCTAATTTTTTTTTTTTTGAGAGGTTTTTGCTATAGGGTCCATGTGCTTGCCAGAAAGACAGAGAGACAGAGAGACAGAAAGTGAGAAATCATCCTCCAGGGGGGATGGCCACGCCACAATCCCTTCTCCTCCATTCTCCTCTTGGGATTTTGGGCATGCCTGCACACGCGTCTGACGTGAGTTTAAACCACTGGGTCCGGGACTTGCACCACGGTCAAGTACATGGGAGTCCAGGGACATAGCTATTACGCTAACTGCTGGTCCCCTCCTCTATAAGTTTTATAGATGTGCTTCTTTCCTCTTTAGATGTGGACGTTTTACTAGCTCATAAGATTAAGTGCATAGTAAATCTTTTAGGTAAGTGGCAGCAGCTCTAACATTAATATTATTAGAAACATGAAACTCTTCATCATGGATCCCGTGTGAAGGAGGAACGAAGAGGCTACTGTGGGGTTTTCCTGTGGTCTGCCTACACCCTGGTAGGCAGCAGTTCTCCTGTTTGATGCCCCCTGAAACAGTACTCACTTCTCTCTGTATCCCAGATGTAGTTGTTCAAAACTTCTCCCAGTAGGTATAGAAAGTTCATTAAGATGGTGGTGAACCCGAAGAAGATGATCCTGGCTCCTGGGCCAATGTGTTCCAGGAAGGGGTACACCCACATGCCGGTTACATGATGCACCCAGCACACCCTGCAGCGGAATTGGAAAGAAGACAGGAGTGACGCTTATGGGATGTCAAAGCTGCTAGGGCACAAGTCTTCACGCCCCCACTCTAATCATTCTCAGTTGTTGCCAGCCCCAAGTGTGCTTTGGATAATCAAGAGCCACCAGAAACTTGTGGTTGGCTGATTGTTTTCTTTAACTCTTCATTCCGAAATAATTTGAGATTCAAAAATGTACAAATCTGGTATGGAGAGTGACTTTATGTTCCACATTCAGCTTCCTCTCTTGTTAATATTTGTATAATCCTGGGACAATTACTGAAACTAAAACATGAACATTTAAATTCCCTAGCATTTCCATCAGTGTCCTCTCTGTGTCCCAGGATCCTGTCCCAGGTAGTCACATTGTATTAGTCATCACATCTCCTTAGCCTTCCCCCACTGCAGCCATTTCTCAGCTTCTCCTTGAAGGGTTCTGGTCAAGTATTTGAAACTGTTCGTTTTTTAAAGCACTGTTTAACAATCTTTTAAATCTTTTTTTTTTTTTGACATAAAAAAAGAATACAAAAGCTCTTCAAAAAGTTTATGGAAAATGTACTCTTTTTTTTTTTTTTTTTTTTTTTGAGAGAGAAATTTTTGCTATAGAGCATGTGTACTCACCCAAAAGACAGAGACTGAAAGTAAGAAGTCCCCCCCCCCCCCAGGGGGGATGGCCACACCGCAATCCCTTCTCCTCCATTCTCCTCTTGGGATCTTGGCCACGCAAGCACACGCGCCCGGCGTGAGTTTTAAGCCACCGGGTCCGGGACACGAACCGCGGTCGACTACGTGGGAATCCAGCGACATAGCC